TGTATACAGTGGTGCCAGAAGGAGTTTAAGAAGTGGGGAGGCATTCAGCTAAGATGCTAACCACCTTTCAATTTCAGCCTAGCCTGCAGTGTTTGTACAACTAAAATATTGTAAGAAATCAGTGGCATCAGTGTACAGTTTATTGAGGCCGTGGTAATCCTACAGGTCACAAGTAGGTCATTTTATACAGTGAGGCCCCAACCATTAAATAATGGTCTTTGTGCAATTCCAATACTGTTTTTGGACCCCAGAATGCAGAAATATTCAAGTACACGAGGTAGAAATAATACATTTATACTACAAACTGCATGTGATTAGCATAAAGTGGGCATGTTTGTGAAGGGGAGACTCGTGGAACCTACAACCTATTTTCATTCAGGTATCTGGATGTCAGAGGTCAAGGGATCCCTTTGAAAATAGCCACGTCAGTTATTCCATGACCAAAATGAAAACCTAACTTTCAGTCAGCATTATTCAGCCCCTTTAATGTCAAGCTAGACATGGTTGGTACCAGTGGGTGCCCTAGGTCTTCTTGCTTCATATGATACCAGTATCTTCACTCTAGCTGTAAGACTGAGCCTGTTACCTCCTCTGAAAGGCAGTAATGTCAGTCGTGGAAGTATTTGTCAGTGCAGAGTTGAAGAGGTTACCATAACACCTGAAAGTGGGGGGACAAAAAGTTGTCCCCACTATTCTGGCGCCAGTGGTTGTATAATAATCTTTATTGTCCCAAGATGGAGAGTAGTTTATAATGAGTAGCTTTAACCTTCATAAAAATACTTCATGTGTATATATTGTATTCAACATACATGCAAGATATCATCAAATTGCAATATATTCAAGTGCAACATTCAAATTGCAGAAGCTGCAATTTTTTATTAAAAGTAAATTGTATGACAAAACAGCATTGTAATGTACTAATTACTAATTATAAGTACTGTACTGAACACTACTGTGTGGTATGTGTGTGACAGTACTTAACACTATATTATAATAGTGTTTTATTATATTATCATTAATTAGCCTCTACTTATTATTGCCCACAGGAGGAGTTATAGTTGTCGACAAACACATTGATAAACACTCATATCTGCTTGAAATTACTTTATATTATAGTTAGTAGTATTATAGTTAAACCATTTTTGTAATGTTTGTATACTGCTTATAAATGCTAAATAGACTTAAAGTAAACCGTGCCCTATACAACTCAAAAATATACTCTCCGTGTTTGATTAAGTGTATGATTAATCTGTACTAAGAAGTTGCCCACTCTTGCTGATGATACACGATGAACAAGAAAGTGTGGTGGCTGTCATCTTAATACATCATTAAATCTTTCTGGAAAGGCTGCTTCATGTAGTTGCTGCATAGTGACCCGGGCAGGCAGTTTTAAGTGACATGATAATTGAATTACACTGTGGCAGCAGCTCCAGCATAGATGTTCTGGAAATACGCCCTCCAACCATTATAGAAATTGTTTAATTGTGTCCTTTGCTGGATTTTCCTGACTCAAATGTATTGCTGGCAAACACTGGCGTTGTAAAAAACTCTCCAGAGGAACATGCTGACTCGAGAAACCGCGATAGTGCAGGCCCAAAGGACAGAATATTTTTTATCGATAGTTTGATGCAAACATGTGGATGCTACAGCATGTGACCAGAACACACAAAGTTAATAGAAAATTGCTCTGCCAACTCCTTCAAATTCCCTCCTCATGAAACGTGAGTAGGGAAAAGTGAAAGTCAAACGATAGATAAGATCTGATATGAAGGATGCAATGAAACAGAAATCACACATTATTTCATTACCAGTGGATGTGCCAAAGAGGAGAGAATAAATAGTAAACCATAACAAAAGACCAGCTCGTCCAAAGATAATGCATTAATGTTATCTCAGTTAATTGTGAGGAAATGTTATGTTAGGGTTAGAAAAGCTGCCATTATGACACAGACTATTAACATGGATGTCACAGGTTTCTGAATGGATGTTTTAAAGCCTAGTTTTGGGTTCAGTGGTTGACTGTAGTTGATAAGTCAAGCAAACAAACTCAAAACAAACTTCTTTTTAACCATTGGGGTAGATCAAGCTGGCAGAGCCCCTTCCCCTGATTGATTTTCTAAGTGCCTTAAAATGAGAATGACAGGATCACAGGCAATAAAGGAAAGGCAGGTATCAGAGAGAGCAGCGTTTAAAACAAATTAACTGTGATCAGATAAGGGTGGGAAACCACAGCACTGCAACCAATCACACAAAGATCTATCATAGATTTATTATAAATCAATCAGGACCTTTTTCACAGCCGCCATTTTACCATGAAATAGTAGGGTTAAACACAGATGTTACCAATGATACTAATTAAGGCTTCGTTACATTTAGTGTAGCAGAGCCAACATGCACAATAACATCACCCTGACTCTGTTTGACCTGAATGAAAATGGAACCCTAATTGGTAACACCTGTGTTTACCCTACTATTTTATGTCAAAATGGTGGCTGTGAAAAAGGCATATTGTTGTTACTGATTTGGTGCACATGTAATGCAAGAGCCACTTTTAATTATTTAAAGTTTTTTTTCTAGCAGCATTACCTAAGATAGTAAAAATTAATATATTTTGGTTTAGGACCGGTAGTTGAACAAAATTAAATATTAAAATGTAATAGATAATAAATAATAAGTCATATAAAGAAATAAACTAATTGTCTGCTGATAAGCTGATAATTAACATTAACAAGGTT